TTGGCCTTGTTGAACCTCATGAGGCTGGCCTGGTACCACCTCTCCAGCCTGTCCAGATCCCCCTGGATGGCCTCCCTTCTCTCCAGCGTGTTGACTGCACACACAACTTGGTGTCATTGTCAAACTTGCTGAGAGTGCACTCAATCCCACTGTCCATGTTGCTGACAAAGATGTTAAACAGCACCAGTCCCAATACCGAGTGTTTAGGAACAGCACTCATGACTGGTCTCCACTCAGACATTGAGCCATCGACCGTGACTGTCTTGAGTGTGACTGCCCAGCCTATTCCTTATCCACTGAGTGGTCCATCCATCAAATCCATGCGTCTCCAGTTTAGAGACAAGGATATCGCACGGGACAGTGTCAAATGCTTTGCACGAGTCCAGGTAGATGACGTTGGTTCTTCTTCCCTTATCCACCAACACTGTAACCCTGTCATAGAAGGCCACCAAATTTGTCAGGCACAGTTTGCCCTTAGTGAAGCCATGTTGGCTGTCACCATTCAGCTCCTTATTTTCCATGTGCCCTAGCATAGTTTCCAGGAGGATCTGCTCCATGATCTTGCCAGGCACAGAAGTGAGACTGACTGGCCTGCAATTCCCTGGGTCTTCCTTTTTCCCCTTTTTAATTATGGGGGTTGTCTTTCTCCTTTTCCAGTCAGTGGGAACATCACCAGACTGCCATGACCTCTCAAATATGATGGGTAGTGGCTTAGCATCTTCATCTGCCATTTCCCTCAGGACCTGTGGATGCATCACATCAGGTCCCATGGACTTGTGAACCTTCAGGTTTCTTAGATGGTCTTGAACCCGATCCACTCCTACTGCGGGTGGTTCTTCATTCTCCTAGTTCCCCTGCCTTTGCCTTTTGCAACTTGGGTGGTGTGGCTGGAGCAGTTGCTGGTGAAGACTGAGGCAAAAAAGTCGTTGAGTACCTCTGCCTTCTCTGTATCCCGGGTAGCAAGGTCTCCCATTTCCTTTTGGAGTGGGCCCACATTATCTCTCGTCTTCCTTTTGTCACTGGGATACCTATAGAAGCTTTTCTTGTTGCCCTTGATGTGCCCAGCCAGAGGTATTTCTTGGCTTTCGTAACCTGATCCCTGGCTGGTCAAAGAGGGAAAAAAAAAAAAAAACATGTAAACTCCTGAAGCATTAAGATGCTTACATGCGAGCTCTTTTATTAACAAGCATTTTGTGGTTCTTGGCCTGTGAATAGAATTAAAGTTCCATGAAAGTGCTCTTTTGCAGACTTGCCCCAGTCTTAATAGTGTAAAGCTAAGCACATATGTAGACTTAACTGCAAAGTGTAGCTTAATAACATATATTGTGAAGTGAAAGCAAGGGTTACCTGACTTACTGATGCTGACTGCTGTGTGTGTGGTATAAACATATGGAAGAGTGTGGAAGAGAATAGAATATCCTTTAGTGCTATAGGGGGAATTGCACTTCATACTTATGATGATCTGCTGACTCTTTACAGGTGTGGGGTGTTTTTTTTTTTTTCTTATCACAAAAGCTTTCTAGAGGCAGAATCAAATCTGTGAAGCCACCCTGGGTGAGGTTGTGACCCTGATGACCCAGCCATTTCACTTAGCTTGCTACAGCTGCCACCAGTTCTACTTAGGAACAGAAAATCCTTACGACCTTCATATAATTTCACTTGAAACATGGTTGATACAGACTGAGATACTGTTCAATGCCTTGCTTTGACAGTTCTGAACTGGTTGTACAGTGTATAGTGTATTCTGTGCAAAGCTGAAATTAAAATTCTTACTGAAGATGGTGTTTTAATTTTCAGGTTCGCTGGATGATGTATTGGATTGTGTTTGCTCTTTATACAGTTACTGAAACAATAACTGACCTAACAGTCTCTTGGTAAGAGTGCTTTTTGTGAACTCCGCATGAAACTATATTTGTTTCTGATGTTCTTTGATTTGTAATGATTTAATTTTTATAAAGAACTTGTGCTTGTTGATAGCCCTTTTTTTTCAGGAAGAGATCTCAGTGTGTGTGAAGGATAGCATCTGTTTTCAAACTTGCTGTACACTGTCACTTGAAGTAGGGACTATAACACTTCCACCTTTGCTGTAGAAACTGAATACGTGAATGGAACTCTTAAAAGGATGGACTGTAATTTCTCTGTGCAGGAATGTGTACTGCAAAGCAAGTATATTAACGGCTTCCATTTCTTAAATGACAGTACAGTCAATTAAAAAAAATAAATGCATAGGTCTAGAACTCATTTAATTTTTGTCTAGTATAGCTTCTTGTATGTGAAGAACCCTATATGCTAATATGTAATTGTGGGTTTTGAAGAGATCTCTTCATGATGATTAATTACTGTGTGTTTTCTTACTGCAGTTGTTGATTTCATGCAACCTTTAACTTGTCTGTAGGTTTCCACTGTATTATGAACTGAAGATAGCTTTTGTAATTTGGCTCCTTTCCCCATACACTAGAGGGGCAAGTTTAATATACAGAAAATTTCTCCACCCACTTCTTTCTTCTAAAGAAAGGGTAAGAAATAACTTCTCATGTTTTTAATGCCTTATATGGAAATACCACATGCTGAAATACTAACTGTTGCTAAGTACGTGATAAAAGTAGATCAGTGTGTTACTGGTTTGCTGGGCAGCATGAACTTGGACTAGTGGAAGCAAGTGCATATGACTGTCCATTTATATGCTTCTGTTTAACTTGGATGTGCAGACAATGTACTACTTTCTGTTGACATGAGATAGCTTGGTATTCTCTGGTATACTTGCTGTGCTTTGGGGAGCCTAGTTGAGTGGAAGTGATGCAATTTTGACTTTCTACTGGAAGAACATGTGCAGTACTCTATGCAGAAGCATGAATGCAGTTTTAGTAACTGCTCTTCATGTTACCATTTTTTTTCTAGCATAACCTAGTAATAAAACTTCTCAGAATGAATGATATAGATGACTTTTCTGGTGTGCAAATTGATAGGATAAGAAGAGAAACTTTCTACTGTTTGAGTGTGTGGCAAAAGTGATTAGCAAGGGTGTGAAGGCTACCACTGAAAAACCTCACAGTACAGAAAAGAGCATTCATAAAGGTCAGCGCTGGACTTGGCCTTTATTAGTCAAAACAGGTACTTGACTCGATTGCCACTGATACGAACAGTGAGGTCATCTTGACCTTCTGAAGGTTGAACTATAAACTGTTTGCAACTTCATAAGCTAAAGGGATTTTCCCCTGTAGTCTGCCAGCTGTTGTGAACTGCCTTGAAGTCCTTATATCCAGCTCCAGGTATTTACCACAGCTGGGAATAAATGGCATGACTGTATTGTCTTTGGTATTTAACTATGTCAAAGCTCTAGCTTTGGAGGTTCTTGTGATCTGACTCTACCTTTCTAAGGGGCTCTCTGATTTAATCTTAAGCATGTTATTTCCTGAACAACTTTTGTCTGAAAAGTTAAGCTTGCTCTCTGTAAAGAACTTGCTATGTAGCTGCAATGTTTGAGCTGGACAGAAGTGTTCTATTTTATCTTCTTATTTGATCAGACATAATCCTTGTTAAATGGGAGAGTATAAGTGAATGAAGCATTAGTATACAAAGTCAAGAGTAATTGTCCCATTAAATATTGTCTTAAAGGTTTCTTCTGTTTTCCTTTATTGATGGAAAAATAATACTGTGGGCTAATATGACTCTTATGCACAGCCCTCTAAAATTTAAGTATGTTTTACTTTTAGGAGATTGACGAGTACATCGTACAAGCCAAAGAAAGAGGCTATGAGACCATGGTGAATTTTGGAAGGCAAGGGTTGAATTTGGCAGCAACTGCTGCAGTGACAGCAGCTGTAAAGGTAACTTTCTGCTTGCATTAACTGCTTTTGTCCTTGATGTAGAACAGTGTAGTTGTACTGAGGATTGCCATTCCTAAACAAAAAGATTAATTCTGCAGATGCATTGAAAACCTGGAACACAGTGTAAGGGTTGCAGCCATCTAGTCATCCTCATACTATGTTTAAGATGGCTTGTAGTTATTTCTTGGATGATGGGGATCAGTTTACTGTAATTCAAAAGATACTGTGCAGTTTTCTATGCAGGCTATTGGTAAAGATGACTATTGTTTCTTTTCTGTCTCTGTTGTGCTTTCTTGTTGGTAAACACACTATTTAAAGGATTTCTGGCTTTTCTGCTGTTTTTCTCCAATCAACTTGAGGTAACTCCATATATGAAATAAGGCATGAAAGCTTACTACCACAGATAAGTTATCTTGACACAATTAACTTGTTTGCAACTTGTTGATAGAATTATTAAATTAATACACTAAGCATAAGCTTGCATATTGCTGTTTAATATACTGTTGCTTTGTCATTTAATTTCCATTAAATCATGAAGAGGATTTTAGCTTTAGAAAAACAAAATACAAGCTTATAAAGTAAGATTCTAAGCAACTTGTGGCCCACCAAAAGGGGTATAACTTAAGGTGATGTGTATCCTACCTAATAGTCATTTAAACCAAAACACGAAAAAAAAGTATGGAAAGAAAGATGTCTATGTCCTAGTTAAATTTCAGTTTTAAGGTGATCAGGAGTAATTTCTTCCTGGGAATAAATTAAGCTGCTGTATTCATAGTTACAGGACTGAAAACCTGAACACTGTTAGTAGATAACATAAAGCAATGTAGAGATCCCTGGCTGTCAAAGTTAAGTAGGCACAACTAGCATTTAACTTAAATGTCTGTGTTTGTATGTGAACGTCTTGTTTTGTAAACCAAAGACGCTTCTAAAACCTACATTTTCAAATGCCATCTCAAAAAGGTTTGTAAAAATTGTCATGTGTATCTTGTTTGTTCATTTTCTGTCTTTTTAAAGATGTCTGTGGGTGGTAGTGTAAAAAAATCACTCTTAAAAATATGTACATAATGAGCCTAAAACACTGACAATATGATTCAGTTTGATCACTTGTTTGTTGTGCGTGTGGAGGTTTTTTTGTTGTTGTTCACATTCTTAGTATTCCTTGAGGCATGAAATAGAGTACACCTCTACAGCAATGAAAGTATCCAGAGTGAAAATGGGTTATTAAAAAAAAACAACCAACAACCACAAACAAATACAAAACCGAAACAAACCCAACAAACAAAACCTTAAAAGTACTCTACTGGGAAAAAGTTTTAGAACAATGCTAAATGCTAAAATGCAAATTCTTTGCCAAACAGCAAATCATGATTTATAACAATGTGCACCTGTAACGATATGTATGGTCTGTGTGTTTTCCTTATGGTTGGCTGGCTAAGGTTGGCTGTTTCCTTGTTAATCCTTATGGTGTTACAGAAATATTGTAAAATAAATAACAGAAATACCTCCTTCCACTTTCTTTGGAAATAATGAATAACTTTTTTCCTAGATGTCTGTGTTTAGATTTCATTGCTATTCAGCTGTGACTGGCAAGATGCCTGCACTGTTTGTTAAAACTTGTTAAATATGCTCATGAATATTTGTACAGAATTAGTTCAGTGCAGATGAGACACTTGGGCAAAACAACCACCGCAATACCAAAGACCTAAAATAGACATGATTTTTAAACAGTACGAAAGAAGAGACTCTCTGAAAATCTTTATTTTGGCATTGTAAACCTCTCCAGTTTGTCATTCCAAAAAGCTGAGCGTGACTGCTCCATGCAAGCAAATGGAGACAATGCATGTGTTCTTGATTTTGTTCTATGTTTTTCAAGAGTTGACTGCTGCCTCCAGCAGGTGAAAAGATTATCCCTTCAGCGTGAAATGGTGGAGCATGCTATAGGATTTCAGGAATGGAATCCTATTAGTGGGATCAGTTTTGATGGGAAGGAGCCACACTTTCATCACTTTTTTTTTAAGGAGCAAGCATGCTTATTCTGACACATTGGATCTCAAATTAGGAGTAGAGAATGTGGGAGATTAAACTCAAGAAGAGGTCCAAAGAAAGCTTCTGTGCACTAAAGTGTGCAAGCAAAAGAAGCTACGATGGCTATTTATGTTTCTTTTAGAAGGGTGGTAAAATTGCTTGGAAACTGTGGAATATTTTTAAGATCAAGTGTGGGAAAGAGCAGTTTCTTCCAGGGCTGTCAAAGGAATAGGGGATTAGTATTAAAAGGTTAGCTGGCTGTGTAGGAAAGGCTGGAGCAGCCAGCCAGCACAGTCAGTCTACTGAAATTTGACATAGATTTAAACGTGCTCCACTGTAGTTAAGTTGCAATGTAATTGGCAGGAGTCATGGCTTACGGCTTACATTCCTATACTGATATTTTTAGCTGGCAGTAGCTAGCTCCTGTTCTTATAAAATTTAGTGTTTCAAAACCTGCTAAACAGCATATGTTAGCAAAAGAAGTTGTTACTTAAATTAACATGACAGAAACCAAATCTTTGTAAAACCCTGATTTCAGGAGACTTAGAGATGAAAGATACGTCTACACTGACTTTTACAGTTTACTAATAAAACTTTTCTTCAGGATATAAAAGTCAGCAACAAGATGCCTTTAATGATCAGAAAGTAGTTGGAGCTCTTTGAGCTCAATAGGATATGGATTTGTGGAAATTATATCCACAACACTAAGTTCCACTGGTACATCTCGTGTTTGAGCCATCTGCTTTCCAGATCCTCTAAGATGCTGGTTACCTGTACATTCCAATTTTTGCCAACACATAAATTCTGACTTCTCAAGCTACTAGTGAAAACCAGTTTCTGTATCGCCACGTGTGGGACAGCTGCTAATTAAGCTGTGAAATGCACTGTCCTTCTTTATGGGGTTACATAAATATTGCTCATTTGTAAAGTATGACTTGGTGTTCAATAATAATAATAATGTATTTTGAGGGCTGTGTTTCTGCATGCCTTTTTAGTCATCCTGAATCTGCTGCCTGTTTGCTGGTTGAATATTGTTCTAATGACCTTGCTCAGACTTCCCTGTCTTCCCACTTGGCGCATGGCAGAGGAAGGAGGTATCTCACAGCCAGCTGTGGCATACAGCCAGTGTCACTATGAGTAGCTCAGCTCACCAGCCATGTTGCTTTCATCCCTCCTCCCTGTTGGGACTGCCTGGCATGCTACAGAGGTCATTCACAGGACAGCTCACAGGTTGAGCTGGAACAGAAGTCATTCCCTGTTAGCCTGGATCAGATCAGGGGGAAAACAGCTGGGAATGTGAGTGCTGCACACCACAGCTCTGCGGCCACAAAGCTCCAAGCAGCTCTGTGGACGCAGAGTCCGTTGAGAACTTGTCCGATGAAGGTAAGCAGCTTTATTCAGTGATCCTGACCACTGAGGGGATGCAAGTCTTATTCAAACAACAACAAAGAGTCCCTGAGGCAGGCATACTGTGTAGTGTCTGTTTACAGCAGCTTCTCTGGGTTAAGTATGTAGGCTATAAAAATACATGCTCAGCAACAAAACAGAGATTTGCATTTTGTGTATGAGGGTCAACTGATGAGATAGGATAGTAATAGCTTACTAGAGTCTGAGTAGTCTCAAAAGAAATCCCTTAAGTAGGCTGTATGTATTAAAAAAACTGGGTTTAGAACCCTATTACAACTTCAGTGTTTCAGATTGGTCACTGGTAATGAATGGGGTCTCTGAAAAGCATTTAATATGTTTTAGGAACTACTGTTGAATAAATAAGCAAACTCATTCTTTTTTTTTGGTGTAAGACAAAAACTTTACAGTTCATCTCTCTTCAGCATTCACTTACATAGAAATTTGAGCACTGAAGTTGTTCTGTGGGGTTTTTTGCCTGCATCGTAATTGTAAATGTGTGTGTCTCAGTCTTTTGTGGTGTAATTTAGTTGGCAGTCTCTGGGCTGGATACAGCCTGCTGTATTTCTTCCTTACTGGTAGGAACTGTTGAATTAATTGGACACCAGTGCAGGCGTGGCAACTGCTCTGCCATCTTCTTTTGAGCAGCATCGTGGGGCTCTGTGTGTGGCTGGGGAGAGGTGGTGGCTGGCCATGGCATGAATGTGGAAGCAGCAGATACCCGCTTGGCTCTACCTGCAATTGAATTGCGCTGCGTTCTGTTTTGCAGGGAAAAATCTTGCTTTCAAGCTGTGGCTAGTAGCTCTCTGAACTTTCAAACAAGATACCAAAGCTCTTAATGCATTAATATTCTAAATGTGAATGTTACTCTTGCATGTTTTGCAGTAGGAGGACTATATCTACAGTGGAATAGGGAATACAGGCTTGTAATGTGAATTCTTCTTAGCATGTTAGTTGTTATAATCTTAGTTACATTATCTTTTACAATTTCCAGATGTCTTTCTGTAGTATGTCACATGATGAATGAACTCGCTGTGCAACTGTTAAGCAAGTGTGTCTTTCTATACTTTTGCTTCTGTCACTATTTTATAGTAGAATCTGTCCACACTTAGTGAGTGGAGTTGTGCTGAATTTATATGGATTCTGCTGAAAACCAACTGGGTCCATTTTATACATTCATCAGTGTTCAGTGATTGAGATCTGAGTTCAGTTGTATCTCTTCAAGCAGTGGACACTGACTCCTCAACAGTCTGTGTTATAGCAGATACTGTAAGCTGTTACTTGTCAAAAGAAGCAGTCCTGTTTCTCCAGTTCTCTTTTTTCTCTGGTTTCCTAGCAATAAGTTCTGTGAGTTCTCGGGTATAGCTGGTTCCTGATTTGGTTTACTGTGCAAATGCTTTTCAATGCAAGGAGTGGAGTGGTGGAAGGGCCGGGTTCCTGCCTTAAAGCAAGACAGACCTGCCTTAGATAAGCCATTTCAGGGAATAAAATTAGCTTCAGAATTTCTACAATAGCTTATCCACAGACTGTACAGTGTACGTAGTGCCTTTTAACTCAAAGGCAAGCTGTAGTTGTCTTCTTCAGAACTGTTACTCATCCTGCATGTATGTAGGAAGAACTAGAACGGTAAAGGCTTCCACTTCTCTCATAAGAAACCCTTTCTTTGTTATTGTTTAGTGGCAATGTATGAATGGTGGCGTAAGAATTAAAATAGGTTCTTGCCTGTGTAACACATAGTTTTACATTCTGTACTAATGACTATTCATTAGAGAATTAATACTAGGTTTCACCCACTCTCGCCTCCCCCCCGCCCCCACCTTTGGTAGCCATGCAAGCTTAAGGAGTATCACTCCACTGTCTCTTCAGTTTACATGGCTATTTTTAACATGGAATAATTTAGTGTGCTGGTCTACCATCTGTGAACAGCTCGCCGTGAGAGTGGGAACAAATGGCTATGGCCAGTGGTGCAAGAACTGCCTTATGCTGGTGCTGTAGCAGAGAAAAGGTGTGTGGAATTGCACCTAGGCTTCTGCTACTGCTAGCTAACATAATGCTCAAGCAAGGAATTTTACTTAAAAGCTGCATTTGTAAAAATGAAACAAAATCTTGAACCCTTGCTCAAAGTGGGATTCATGCATAGGCTTGTCAGCCTTCCTCTGAGGCGGTTATTTTTTTGCTTCATATGCCAGAGAGGAAAGAATTAAATGTTATTTTAACATAGCACTGAGTAATGTGCTTGTTCTTTTAGTTGCTTATACAATAAATTAATCTTCAGTGCTTTAATAATAACATTGTCTGATGTAAGATGAAAGAGCTGCTTGATGGCCCTTCTTTCCAAAGTGGAACTTTGTCCCATGTAGAAGAGATGTAAAGATGATCAGAGAAGGAATACAAATGTTCAAATGTGATCAACTATTCTTATACATAGCATTAGATTTTGGGTTGATATTATGTCAGTAAAGCTACATTTGTAAGAGAACCTGCCAGCCTGTAGTCCAGGCAGGACCTCTGGTTTGTGGTTTTGTTTCTGTCAACTAGAGCTTTTGTGGTGCTGCCAGTTTCTCAATTACTTGACTTAATGTAACAGAGTGTATTTTTAAGGCTTTTTTCCTTTCTTATGCACATTCAAATTTGTGGAGGGTAAAATATAAAATCTTCATTTATCTTCAACCGTGCTTCTTAAAATGGAAGTGTTAAACCTACTGTCACACTAGCTAGCACTGTTAGAGAAATACCGTGTTTGAAGTGAATTGAGCATTTCTGATCTGTGTGGGGTTGTTGTTTTTTTTTTTTAGACACTTCCCCTCACCCAAAAAGCCTTTATTTGCTCAGATTAAAGGAGTGAAATGAGACATTTGTAATGAAACTGCTAGCTTATTTGTAACTTTTTTGTCTAGGAGCAATATACAGTTAACCTTGGGTAAAAGCAGTATTTAAGACAAATGTAAATCTACTGCATGCTTATGTGCAATGAATTTTGTAGTGCAACAAGGAAGCATGGGCTTAAACATCTTAACCCAACTTAAACAGCAAATGCTTTGTTTTCAAAGATATCATTGTTGTATTTCAGAGTCAAGGTGCAATAACAGAGAAACTGAGAAGTTTCAGTATGCATGATTTGACTACTATACAAGGAGATGAGCCAGTAGGACACAGACCCTATCAGGTATTACCAGAAGCAAAAAAGAAAACCAGAGCCTCTGCAAGTGAGTCTTCAGGTAAGCATCTCTCTCTTCCCCTGCCCCCTCCCC